GGCTCAGCTCATGATCTCAGAATCCTGGGATGGAGCCCCACATGGGGATTTCTGCTCAGCGGGGAGCCTGCTTTCCCCGCCTCTCTGCCTGCCTCTCTGCTTGTGATATCTCTCTCTGTCAAATAAATAAATAAAATCTTTAAAAAAAAAATCTCTAAAGAGGCGCCTGAGTGGCTCTGTCAGTTGGACATCCAACTCTTTCAGCTCAGGTCATGATCTCAGGGTCCTGAGATCAACATGTCGGGTTTCCCACTCAGTGGGGAGTCTTCCGTTTGACATTCTCTCTCCCTTTCTTTCTGCCCCACCACTCCACTTGCTAGCTTTCTCTCCCCTGCCAAAATAAATAAATCAATCTTTAAAATAAAATAAAATCTTAAAAAAAAAAAAAGATCAGCTAGCACAAAAGACTACTATCAGGGCTGGGTATTACCAAGCTCAAGCAAATTAATGCCCAAAAAGCAACTTACTATTTACATTTTTGCAATATCAATCATAACCAGCATACAGAGGCTTTCTACAACTAACAAACATTTTAAAAGCATTTCAACATCATTCTTCCTCAAATAGAGCATAACCTGTCAACAGGCTTGGAAACGTCAAAAGGATGGGTATTTGAGAACTAAAATTTTAAAAAGGAAAAAATATTCAATAATCTAAAGGAGGAGGTTTAATGCCACTAGAAGAAGGATAGCTCTATTCTTCTGTTCAAGTCACTTAGAATTAGTTGATTTTCTGAAAAATACACAGGAAAATGTATTGTATTTATTATTCTTGATTTAGGAAGTGAATTCACTGAGTGAGAGAAGTGCTCATCTCTGGAAATTCATGTTAGAAGTAATCTCAGGCTACAGCCACAATGCAGAATGTTTCTCACAATCTTCTGCTCATACTCAAGAATTCAAATCAGCACCAACACTCAACTACAGAAATGAGCCAGAAAAGATAAGCAGACAGTAGAGCAAAGAATGAAGAAACTTCAATTTGCAGACACCTCTGACATTCAGAGAAGTTTCATCTCTATCCAAGTTTCCCACTATAAATTAACTCACCTAATGCCAAATTCCGAAGCACCAATTATTATTTGATCAAGACACAAAGAAAAAAGGAGCTATCTCCATATTTACATAGTTCTAATCTTCCTGAAAGACTTCTACTTCTTTTATATAAACCATCTCAATTCTCATGGGAAGTAGACAGAGTCAGGTTTCTGGAGGAGAAACAAGCACAAAGGGATTAAGTATCTTGTCTAGCAAGTCACCAGTGAAAATAAAACCAGACCCAATTATTTAGTCTACAAAGTCTAAATAACCTGCTTTCCTTGGTTCATAAACTTAGGACAATATTTTCAAGTGCCTACCAACCATCCCAAACCATAGAATTTCACAGAACAACACATATAACCAGAACACTCCCAGAATTGAGTTTTCTGAGCAAGAAAATACTGCTTGCCCCAAATCAATAAAATGAACTAACACAATGGACTTAAAAAATTCAAGGAGGAAACAATAGCCATATTGGAGAGAATTTTCAAAGGTTACTCTATTCATTTTATACCCTACTGCTCAAATCCTCTGCCAGGGAGCCAAATGGGCCCATACCCTTATAATCATATCCTACACATATATCAAATCTCAAAATACTTCAAAGAATTTCAATGAAAGGCATATTATGCTTTAAAAACCTTTCCCTCCAAAAATAAAATCTTACAGCAATGCCTTCAGAACATTATTTTGTTGCCTTCATGATGCACTTTAAATTTGATTTTAAAAATTAGCTTCCAGTTTACTTTTTAAATATTTATATTTACAGATTCAGATTATTTAAAATGTGTTGTTCTGCTCAGCCTTCATTATGTTTAGGCAAGATTCTCACTTCCACTCAAACTTATTATTTCAACCTACAATGGCCACATTAAGATACTTCCTAAATTGACAAAAGGAGAAAACTAATCAAACCAGAAAGCTTCCCAAGGTATCAAAGCATACTTTTTATTTGAAACCACACAGGTACTACATAACACACTACATGAAGCCCACTAAGAGATAACTGAAGTTATTCCTGCAACATGAAATAATTTTTTTGCAAAATCTGACAAGACTGAATTTTCGACTATCAAAAGGGAAATCATTTCCCAAGATTGTAGAAAACCCTGCTTACTACGGCAGTCTCAAAGCAGTTTCCTTAATCCTTCCAAATCCCAAAGAATCTAACACAAGCCACAGAACACTGAATGAGAACCGCACTGAGATATATGTGCTCAAACCGCTGAAGGTTATTTTCTATGTGTCTGGCAAGCTGATTGGCCATATGTCCTCACACCCCCAAAAGTCTTCCTCAATAAAGTTAACACTACACTCCCTAACTCAAATCAAAATAGCAGAAAATCCAAAAGCCTCCAACCAAATTATTACTTGAACTATTTGGGAGAAAAAGCCAACAACGCAGGATCAGTTACTTGCACCCTGAAAGAGAGTTAAAGAATCGCAGATCTCCATTCCTGCCACTTTTAGGAGCTGGATGTACATTACCTCTGTCTGCCTCTAGCATGGGACTCAGATATTACATCACTCAAAGCCTGAAAACTGCCCCATTACCCAGAAAGCACCAGGGTAGCTGAGACACTGCACCAAGGTATTCCTTCCTCTCTGATACATAGCCCTCGAATGGCACGGACACTGGGCCCGGCTCTCTTGCAGCATCTTCAAAAAGGCATCTGCCCTGCACCTGCTGCAATCCTATTTCTATTCACTGGTGGTGCACTCCACACAACCCTGTATGGCTCTTCTATCTGCACACTTGTCAGCGCAATGCACTAGGACAATATTCTACCACATACCTCCTCCAACTTGGGAGTGTGTACTACTCAGCTCTACCCTATCCCTTCCCCATTCATAGGGTTCTGGAACTAAAATCTGGCTTCTTGATTCTTCTGATCCTAGAGGCATGAACTTTCAAATATATACAGGGTTTAATGTCCTCCATTTTTCATTAGTATCATTCCAGGATCCACATACACACACCACACACACTCTTCAGTTCTTCTACATCCAGAATATAATCCCCTCTTCAGTTTGGTTTTGGCTTTTGTTTTTTCAACTTCTGCACTCTGCCTTTTATTTCCAGTGACCTAAAGCTTTTGAACCCCTTAATCTCTCAGGACTCAAAGTTTTCCAATCTCACCCCACTCTTCAGCACCCTGCTCCTTCCATTCTCTTTTAAGCAACCTGTTTTCCTAACTCTCTCCAGCCTGAATAGTCATTTCCTGCCGCTAAACCTGGACAACCTGCTTCTTCCACCATCACCCCAATCCAATACACAACCTATCCCTTTCTAGTCACAGACACATTCACGCACCTCCCTACCTTGCCCTTCTCTTACCCCGTTATGTACTATGCATTATTCTATGTCTGCTACCCAAAAATATCCTGTCTTCCCCCATTCTTCCCTCTCTTCCTTGCCTATCCCCCACCAGACAAAATCTAGCACCCCAAGCTATGTTTCATCCCTCTACATACTGTATGTACCCCAGACCTGACCTGCATCCCTCCCCCTCCAAGCCATCCCCTACTACCTCCCTCTACTGATTTCCCTTCACACACGTACCACCCCCACTTCTTCTCCCTAACTCCCCTCCACACTTCCTGCCCCCAAAACATTTCCTTCCATCTGTTTTCATACCTCAGCTGCCACTCCAAGAATATTTTCCTCACCCCTTACACCTCTGGCCCTCTACCTCACACATACTCCACTCCACCTGTCCCCTGCAATGTCTCCCCAACCCCAAAGTTAACACATTTCACTCACGTCTGCTATCCGCTAAATACACTGCACACCTCCTGTCCATCCCCATCACCTTACTCCACTGTCCTCACTTTTCTCCAACTCTGGCCCTGCTCCAATCACCTTCCTCCTCCCCTCCCCCCCCAATACAGTTCTCCCCTGAGCACCACTCGCCAGTGAGACACCTGTCTTCTCCCCCGCCCCACATGTCCGCCCTTTGCGTGTCCCACCTATCCAGTCTCAACACTATTCCTGCTTCCTTCTTGTCTTCCCTACACACCTCCTGGCCAGACACAAACCTCACATCCTTCACAGGTCTCCTGAAACCTCTGGGCCTACCCTGGCACACACCTCCTCCCTGCAAGCCTCCATTTCCCTCACCATCACTCCAGAGACCCCTAGACACCTCCGTCCCTCTCTCCCTATCACACTTCCCCCTACTCGCACACCTGCCTCCACATTTCCCTTCACATTTGTCCGGTGGCCTTCCTTAAATCTGCCCCCACGCCTTGCCCCTCACACGCAGCCCCGACCGGGACATCCGCTTCTTCCACTCCTCCATCGAGTCCCTAATTTCCTCCTTCCATTCCCATCACGCTAGCCTCTACCCTCCCCAAAGCCTCCCTCACACCCTCCTGAACCCCCAAAGGCTGCCCCCACCCGCCTGAATGCCCTCCCCATCCCTCTCGCACTCGCCCTGGCCCCACTGGGCGCTCGAACCTGCCCGAAGGCCCTCCCGCTCTGTTGGGCCGGATCCCTCCACCCTTCATTCTCCCCCAAGTCTGCCCACACCCTCCGCCAGCCCCCCCCAAGCCTCGCTCACAGCCCCTGCCCCCAATGTCCTCCAACACCTGCCCAGAGCCCCTCGCCTTCCATCCTACCGAGACCCCCGGCGCCGGGTCCCCCCCAACACTGCCCACGCCCTCCCCTCACTCGGGGCCGGGACCCCGTCCCCCACGAAGGTGAGGAAGGCTGCCCGCTGCCCTTGCCCGAAACAGCCGGGGCACCGCAGCGGCGGCCACAATGCCAGAGCCACGGGGGCCGGGATTGCTCCCTGCTCTCCGCCCGGGCCGCCGCGGCCGGCGCCGCCGCTGCTAAGGACGCACAACAAACAATGCGGGGCCCGGGCCGGCTCCGCCAACCGCCTCAACCGCCGCCTAAACCGCCGCCCGCCCGGGACGGCCCGCCGCGCAGGCGCCTACCCCACCGCCGCAGCCTACCCGCGCCGCCGCGCTCTGCCCGCGCCCGGTCCCCGCTCCCGCTCCGCCGCCGCCGCCACCTCGTCCGTCCGCGTCTCCGGCTCCTCAGCCCAGCGGCGGCGGCTGCGGCGGCTGCTGCCCTGGTGGCGCTCGCGGCTCCGGTCTCCGCTTCGGCGGCGGCGGCGGCGGCGGCGAGCACGTGACACCGCCCAGCGCGCCCATTGGCCGATCCGGGGGGCGGGCCCGCGGCTGCTGGGGAACGGAAAGCCCGCCCCCTCGCTCGCCGCGCTCCCCCTCCACGCGCACTCTGCCGTACCTGAGGGCGCCGGCCAGCGCCCGCCGGCGCCGTGCCGCGCCGCTGCCTGCGCCAACTGCGCACCTGGGAGCGCGCAGGGACCACACGCTGGTGGAGGCCGCATGCACCTGCGAGCGGACGCTTACGTAAGCTGCGTCCCCGCCTTTCTCCAGGCTCCAGGCCCCCGCCCGCTGCAGCACCTGAGCCCCGCTGCGCTAGCAGCGTAACTACTGCGGAGCGGGGACGAGCTGCGCAGAGAAGCAAGCGAAATGCACGGAAACTTCGTAACTTCCGAATCTGGGAGCGGCTCCCGGATGCCACTCAGAGCCTGCCTCTCCCGGCCCGCGCGCCAGTGGCGAGTGCGCCCCCAACCCCAGAGGCTAAGCAGCGGAGTAGGCTGTGCAACGCCTCCCCAGGTGGAGGACCGGGAGGCCTCTGACTTGGTAAGAGGTTCTCTCCCAGCCTCCGCCCCGCTACACTTACCAGCTGTGTGACCTTGACCAAATTAGAGAACCATTCTGATCGTCAGTTTTATGGTAGGGAAACTAGGACAATAATTCCAATTTAGAAGCCGTTGGAGAGATGGAAAAAGACAATAGGTGTGAATTCTCTCATCACATATCAGGCACTGAACAGAAGTTGGCTGCTTAGTCAGCAACCATCTCTCCTTTTCTCACCCAATGGACCTGCCTGGGAATTCATTTTGAGGCCAGGACTTCTCTGGCCTCCTTATTGTTGTGTCAGACTTTGGCTGAACACCCGTCTGGGCAGTGCTAAGGAAGAAATTATGTTTTACTTTGTATTTTACAGAGTTAATCCTGGGCACTTTTTTGGTTACAGCATTCTGCCTACCAATTCCGCCCCTTACTGAGTACCCGCTGCATGCCAGGTGCTGTGCTGGGTGTTAGGAAGCACAAGTGAATGAGACAAGGTCCTCGCCCTAAAGGAATGCCCAGGCCAGGGTGGGAAACAACCTGACCACCCAGCAATCGGATTTGGAGAGCTGGGGGTCAAGAGGGATCTCCCATAAGAGCCCCTTCTGGGTCTCTTCCCTTCTTTGTAACATGCCAGATTCAAATGTTTTAAAGCCTCTGCTTTATTCAAGAGATAAAGTACGAATACTCTAACTCAACTTCAAAAGTTTTGGTGATCTGGCCTTAAGTTCCAAGGTGAATGCCCTTCCCTTTGCCCCTCCTTCAGGCCAGCTTGACCCTCCAGCCACACAACTTAAGTACTGTAGTTGCCAGGGTCTGTAACACTTTCTGAGCCGCCTGGGGGGGGGCGGGGGGGGGGCTAGGCCCAAAAATCCCTTTCTACACCCTGTCCCCCACTTCCAATCGCTCTCAACTTTCTTCACACTCCTGAAAGACTCCTTGGGATTCTTAGTCAATTCCGAACGTATTCTCTCAAAAGCCCATTGGCTGCTTCAGACACATCGTCTGAATTCCTCCACTTTGCACACAGCTCATTAAACCATGTGTTCTTACAGCATTAGCTTGTAATTGTTGGTCACCTCCCTGGACTGTAAGCACCTGGAGGACTTGAGTAGGTTAGGGAGGACTGCACGTGCACAGGCAATGAGGTCATTAAAGCTGGGCTTTCCAAGAACATGCATCTGCTTGGAGGAAAAGAGCCACTGCAGTATAAAAGGCCTGGGTTCTCTGCAGACCAGCTATGTGACCTTGGAAAAACAGTCTCTCTAGGTCTTAGGTAACTCATCTGTCAAGTGAGACCATAACAGTGCATACCTTGTAGGATCGCTACAAGGATTCAGTGAGACAGTATATCTCAGGCACTTAGTTTAGTGCCCAGCATTAGGTCAATTTCTAAATTGTTTTAAATAGGTGGACTGCACAGAATTAAACATTCAATGGTGTCACTTATTCCAATCTCTTTATTGGGTTCATAACTCCAAACATTCCTGACCAAAAAAAAGCATGCAAATGCTGTAAAAGTAAAGAAACTAAAAATTTCAAGTATGCCTCTCCCTTCCCACCCCCACTCTACTCCCTCTACCCCTAATCCCACGTCCCAGGGCAGTTACCATTTTTCATGTCCTACAGTGTATGTTGAGAGAGAGAAGAAAATTGCAAAAAATTACATGTCTATTATGTGTATGTTTTACTTAGATTTTGCATAGAAAAAGGCTAGAAAGGGTTAAACACCAACTACTACTGTTGTGCCTCAAAAGTAGAGCTAGGGTTGGTGATAGGGTATTTTGAATACTTCTACATTGCTTTAATTATTTAAGAAAGCACACACACACACACACACACATATATATAATATATATATGTATGTATATATATACACACATACCCATATATATATTAAACAAATGTATATATAACACATTTTTAATGTTATTGAGGTATATTTACATATCCTAAAACTCATGCATTTCAAGAGAACAGATCAAGGATTTTTAATAATGTTACCAAGTGATGCAACATCAATATTTCAGTTTTAAAACATATACAGATTCCGCAGAATAAAATCCTTCAGACCCATTTACTGGTAATTCCATTCCCACTCCCAGCCACAGGCAACTACTAATCTACTCTGTCTCTATAATTTTGCTTTTTCTGGATATATTAGATACATTCTTTTAATTGAAATAAATGTTTTAGAAAAAAGTGGGGTTTTTTAAAGATTTTATTTATTTGGCAGAGAGAGAGACACATGCAAAGAGAGAGAGAGAAAGAGAACACAACCAGGGGGAAGGGAGGAGGGGGATGCAGGCTTTCCGCTGAGCAGGGAACCAGATGCGAGGCTCAATCCCAGGACCCTGGGATCATGACCTGAGCCGAAGACAGATGTTTAACGACTGAGCCACCCAGGCACCCCCCAAAAAATGTTTTTATCCCTTAATCTCACCCAGTGATAGTAATCATATTTATATTAATTATATCTATTGTTCTAAACTTATCCTGTGCATACAAATATATGTAACTTATACAAAATGAGACTATAGTATACCTTCAGTTTTAATTTTTTTTCACTTAACAATACAAAGTACATACACCTCTTTTTATGTCACCAAACACTCTCTTGCATAATGTATCTTAAGAATCATTTAATTAAACCAAGCACCCATGTTGGGTATTTGGGTCTTTTTCCAGCATTTCCAGTTATAAACATGGTAAGGTAATAGATATTATAAAGTTATAGAACTCGATGAGCTTTAAAATCACACCTAAATTCAAACACTAGCACTTGTCATTTCATCCATTCATGTGCAAATATTTACTGAGAACCTGCTACGTGCTAGTCCCTAGAGATACAAAAGCAATACAAAAGAAAACAGTGACAGTGTCCTACCTCTGTGACCCTAGAGGCCAATATACATTACTCAAATAACATTGAATGGCCCAAAGAAAAGGAAGCAGGCAATAGAGGTGGATAGATGCGGTTCTCAAAGGCTCTCTGAAGAGGCAACTTTGGAACATACACTTGGCACAGCACTCTGCCATTCTTATAAATGGTGCTTGGTAGGGGCGCCTGGGTGGCTCAGGCAGTTAAGTGTCTGCCTTTGGCTCAGGTCATGATCTCAGAGTCCTGGGATCAAGAGTCCGGTATAGGGCTCTCCACTCAGCTCTGACTGCTTGTGCTCTCTCTCTCTCTCTCTCTGCCAAAAAATAAAATCATTTAAGATTAAAAAAAAAAAAAAAGGTGGTAAAGGGAGGTGAATTGGTAACCTGTGAGAGCAGTGGGCAGCCCTTCCCAGTTCCCAGTGCCTTACTACCCTTAGCTCTTTGGACCCTCACTTCTCCCCACTAAAAGAGAAGAAAACAGAGGAAATTGAAACCTCGATAAGGAAGTGCATTGCCTAGAGTCACCAAGCCAGTAAGGTGGACAGCTGAAATTGAACTCTGGTCTGACTCCCAGTCCAGTGCTCTTGGTCCCCAGTGATACTACGCTCTATAAAATGTATTCCTCTTTGAAGACCTACATTGAGATAGAGACAGAAAACACACAACACTGTACTCTCCGCTACAAAAGATACTAGCCACATGTGGCTTTAATTTTAATTTAAATTTTAATTTAAATAATTTAAAAAAATTTAAATAAATTAAAATTAAATAGGGATACCTGGCTGTCTCAGTCAGTACGCTATGTGACTCTTGATCTCGGGGTTATAAGTTTGAGCCGCACAGTATGGGGAGAGGAATACTTAAAATAAATGATTAATTTAATTTAAAATCGAGTTCCTCAGTTGCATTAAGCATGTTTTAAGTGCTCTATAGCTACCTGTGGCTAGCGGCTACTATATTGAACAACACCAATGCAAAACATTCCTGGGGCACCTGGCTGACTTCGTCAGTAGAGCATGAGATTTTTTTTTTTTTTAAGATTTTGTTTATTTATTTATTTGAGAGCATGAGGGCGAGGTGGAGGGTAGGGAGAACGGAGGGCAGAGTAAGGGCAGAAGGAAAGGGACAAGCAGACTCTCCCCTGAGCACGGAGCCTAAGGGGGGCTCCAGAGCTGAAGTCAGATGCTCAACCCACTGAGCCACCCAGGCACCCCAAGCACCTTCATTGTATATTATTTTCAGAGCAGTTGCCCTGGGAATAGAGAGGTCAGTCTTGTCTTCCTATCCTTCATTTCCCTACCCCTCTCCCTACCATAGGCTGGCTCTACAGAAAGAGGCTGAAGACAGAAAGGTGGCTAGTCACGCTGTGGGTGAGAGGCAGGACACAGGATGTGACATCCTTCAACTTCCTGCCACCTGTCACCATGTTTCTAAATCCACGTATGCATCTCCAGCCATTCCCTCCTTCCCTCCTTTTACAAAAACCAGCCCTCTCACCAAAGACCACATCCTTTCCCTGGGCCTGAAGGCCCTTTCCTACCCTCTAAGGAAATTTA